TTGGCAAATATGTTCTCCCATGCAGTGGGCTTTCTTGTTGTTTTGTTGATGGTTTCCTTTGCTGTGCAAAAGCTTTTTATTTTGATGTAGTCCCATTTGTTTATTTTTATTGATTTCAGAAAGGAAAGAAGAGAGAGAGAGAGAGAGAGATAGAAACATCAATGATGAGAGAGAATCATTGATCGACTGCCTCCTGCAAGCCCCCTACTGGGGATCAAGCTTACAACCTGGGCATGTGCCTTTGACTGGAATCGAACCTGGGGCCTTTCAGTTAACAGGCCAACGCTCTATCCACTAAGCCAAACCATCTAGCTAGGCCAAGGATTTGTATGTGTATATTCATTATTAATATTTGTTTCTTTTTAAAAATATATATTTTTATTGATTTCAGAGAGTAAGGAGAGGGAGAAAGAGAAACATCAATGATGAGAGATAATCACTGATCGGCTGCCTCCTCCACACCCTAAACTGGGGATTGAGCCCACAACCCAGCCATGTGCCCTGACTGGGAATTGAACTGTGACCTCCTGGTTCATAGGTCAACGCTCAATCACTGAGCCATGCCAGCCAGGCATATTTGTTTGTTTGTATTATGCTGTCTTTTTGTGGCTGTGTAATGCTGACCTCATAGAAAGTGTTGGTAGTTTTCTTTCCTCATCTAATTTCTGAATGAGTTAATGAAGGATAGGCATTATTTTTTTCTTTAAATACTTGAGAGAATTTACCAGTAAAACCATATAGTTCTGGTCTTTTCTTTCTAGAAAGATTTAAAATTATTAATTCAAATTATTTACTTGTCATAAGCCTATTCAGATTTCCCGTTTCTTACTGAGTTAGTTTGTGTCTTTCTAGGAATTTGCTTATTTCAAGAAGTTTTCTAAGTTGTTGGCAAGATGTTGTAATATTCTCTATAATTCATTCAATTTTGTAGAGTTGGCAGTGATGTTTCCCCTTTCCTTCCTGATTTTGGTTATTTGTGCCTAAGGTTTTGTCAACTTGCTTACTTTTTTTAAAGAACTAATTTTTTGTTTTATTAAATTTTAAAAAAGAACAGTTTATTGATTTTTAGAGAAAGAGAGGGGAAAGGAGAGGGAAAGAGAGAGACATCAATGTGAGAGTGCAACATTGATTGGCTGCCTCCTGCTTGCCCCTTACCCATGATCCAGCCCACAATCCCAGCATGTGTCCTTGACTGGGAATAGAACCGGCAATCTCCTGATGCACAGGTAAATGCCCAACTGAGCCACACTGGCTAGGGCTTTATTAAATTTTTAAAAATCCTCACCTGCACGTATATATATTAGAAAGAGAGGAAGAGAGAGGGAGAGAGAAAAATGACTGTAAGAGAGAAACATCAGTTGGTTGCCTCCCACCTGGGATTGAACTTGCAACCTAGGAATGTGCCCTGACTGGGAATCTATCTTGAGACCCTACTGTACACAGGACAACACTACAACCAACTGAGCTACACTGCCCAGAGTTGGTTTTATTAATTTTGTCTATTATTTTTATGTTTTTTATTTTATTATTTCCACTCTAATAATTATTATTTCCCTCCTTAACTTGGTTTTGGCCTAAACTGGGGATTGAGCCCACAACCCAGCCATGTGCCCTGACTGGGAATTGAACTGTGACCTCCTGGTTCATAGGTCAACGCTCAATCACTGAGCCATGCCAGCCAGGCATATTTGTTTGTTTGTATTATGCTGTCTTTTTGTGGCTGTGTAATGCTGACCTCATAGAAAGTGTTGGTAGTTTTCTTTCCTCATCTAATTTCTGAATGAGTTAATGAAGGATAGGCATTATTTTTTTCTTTAAATACTTGAGAGAATTTACCAGTAAAACCATATAGTTCTGGTCTTTTCTTTCTAGAAAGATTTAAAATTATTAATTCAAATTATTTACTTGTCATAAGCCTATTCAGATTTCCCGTTTCTTACTGAGTTAGTTTGTGTCTTTCTAGGAATTTGCTTATTTCAAGAAGTTTTCTAATTTGTTGGCAAGATGTTGTAATATTCTCTATAATTCATTCAATTTTGTAGAGTTGGCAGTGATGTTTCCCCTTTCCTTCCTGATTTTGGTTATTTGTGCCTAAGGTTTTGTCAACTTGCTTACTTTTTTTAAAGAACTAATTTTTTGTTTTATTAAATTTTAAAAAAGAACAGTTTATTGATTTTTAGAGAAAGAGAGGGGAAAGGAGAGGGAAAGAGAGAGACATCAATGTGAGAGTGCAACATTGATTGGCTGCCTCCTGCTTGCCCCTTACCCATGATCCAGCCCACAATCCCAGCATGTGTCCTTGACTGGGAATAGAACCAGCAATCTCCTGATGCACAGGTAAATGCCCAACTGAGCCACACTGGCTAGGGCTTTATTAAATTTTTAAAAATCCTCACCTGCACGTATATATATTAGAAAGAGAGGAAGAGAGAGGGAGAGAGAAAAATGACTGTAAGAGAGAAACATCAGTTGGTTGCCTCCCACCTGGGATTGAACTTGCAACCTAGGAATGTGCCCTGACTGGGAATCGATCTTGAGACCCTTCTGTACACAGGACAACACTACAACCAACTGAGCTACACTGCCCAGAGTTGGTTTTATTAATTTTGTCTATTATTTTTATGTTTTTTATTTTATTATTTCCACTCTAATAATTATTATTTCCCTCCTTAACTTGGTTTTGGTTGTTTGCTCTCCCCTCCACCCTCCCGCCTAGTTTTATAAAGTCAAAGCTTATGTTATTGGTTTGTGAGCTTTTGTCTCTTCTGATATAGGCATTAAAGTTATAAATTTCTCTCTTTTACTGCTTCAGCTGCTTCCCATAAATTTTGAGATATTGCTTTTATTTTCATTCAGTTAAAATATTTAAAAAGTTTTCTCATGTTTTCTTCCTTGACCTGTGAGTTGTTTAGAAGCACGCTGTTTAGTTTACAAATATTTGGCGATTTCCAAAATTTATTTTTATCGTCTATCTCTCATTCTGTTGTGGTCAGAAAACATACTTCATATGATTTTGGTATTTTTAAGTTTATTGAGACTTGTTATGGGGTCCAGCATAGGTCTATTCTGGAGAATGTTTCATAATTTTTTTTTTCAGTTTTGGATATTGTTCTGTAAGTATTGGTTTGGTTGATAGTGTTATTCACTTCTCCTGTATCTTATTGATTTTTTTTTCTCTAGTGGTTCTATCAGTTATCAAAAGAGCGGTATTAAAATCTCCAGATATTTTTGTTGACTGTGTCTCTTTTAATTTATTCAGTTTATGTGTCATTCAATTGGGGGCACTGTTGTTAGATTCATAGCATATGTACCAATAATTGGTATGTCTTCCTCATGAACTGACCCCTTTACCATCATGAAACTTCTTTCTTTTTTTTTCTATAAATGTGTGTTTTCTTTAAATCAATTTGGCTGATATTAACATAGCCACTAGCCACTCCAGCTCTCTTATGACCATTTTTTGCATGGTATATCTTCTTTCTATCCTTTTATTTTGAATGTCTTTATGTCAATGAACATAAGCGTGTCTACAGTAGGCAGCACATAGTTCAGTCCTGCTCTTTTACCCAATTTGGCAATCTCTGTCTTTCTTTTGGAAGGGGCATCTAGTCCATTTACATTTAATGTAATTATTGATATGGGTAGATTTCTACATATATTTTGGTGTTTGTTTTCTATTTGTCTCATATCTTTTTGATTTCTACATATATTTTGGTGTTTGTTTTCTATTCTTCCTTTACTGCCTTTTTATGTAAGTACATATTTTTAGTATAGCATTTAAATTACTTGTTAATTTTTTCCTATATATATTTTTAGTTATTTTCTTAGTGCTTTGCTCCAGGGCTTATAATATGCACTTAATGTATCACAATCTACTTCAGAATAATAATAACTTAACTCTAGTAAAATATAGAAACATCATTTTAATATAATTTCATTCTTCTCTTCTTTGTGTCATTATTTTCATATATTATATTTGCTATAAGCCCAACAAAGGTGTCATAATTATTGCTTTACAGAATATTATGCCTTTTAAATGAAGAAATATATATTTATAAAACCTTTTAGCAAATCTCCTATTTGCTATTCCCAGCACACTTCATTTCTTCTTGTGGATTTAAATTATCATTTGGTGTCACCATTTTCCCCCTTTAGTATCTCTGTTAAAGCATAAGTGCTAATAACAATTCTGTTTTTGGTGATCTGGGATTTTCTTTTTTTCACCTATATTTTTGAATAGCAGTTTTACTAGATGTAGAATTTTTGGTTGACAGTTATTTTATTTCAACAGTTTGAATATGTTATCTCACTGTTTTCTGGCTTTCAAAAGACAATACCCCATGGACAGTTTCATGTTTCTGCAGGATCAAGGCTTTTAAATAAAGAACATTGGAACTTGAGTTAAAAGATGATTGATGGCACCCTGGCCGGTGTGGCTCAGTTGGTTGGAATGTCCTTCCATACAATGAAGGTTTGAGGGTTTGGTTCCTAGTCAGGGCACATACCCAAGTTGCAGGTTCGGGACGGGTGCAGTAGACAACAGATAGATGTTTCTCTCTCACCTAGATGTTTTTTTCTCTCTCTCCCTCTTCTTCCTCTCTCTCTAAAATCAATATCTTTGGTTGAGGATTTAGAAAAAGTAAGATGATTGATGACAAGTATGCTTTGGAAGTTCAGTGTAGAAACTTTCAAAGAGATTAGGATACATCTACCCTGAAGACAAATATTGTTTATTACAAAGGGTAACACAAACTTCGTATCCTCTCAGAGAAGATTTACTTATATTCCAGAGTGAAGGCTTCTCCTCCCTCATACCCCTCAAGTGAAAATGTGCCAGAAGTTCCTGTATGCGTTCTGAGATTTATAATTTTGGGAATTATTCTCCTATGGTATATTTATCCCAAGTACAGGTAATGTTGGCACTCATTACATTGTCCCAAGAGAAATTGGGAAACTGATGTAAGCTGCTCTATCAATAAAGGCCTTTACCTGAATCCAGAAGTCTCCTGTTTGTCTTTATGTAGATATACATTGATAAGTCAGCCAACTTATACAGTTCTTCCCCTGTATAAGTTGTTTTTCTCTTGTTGCTTTTGGGATTTTTGTATTTGTTTTTCTACAGTTAATTATGATAGGTGTGGATCTCTTTGTGTTTCTACAACTTGGCTTTGTTGACCTTCTTGGGTCTATAGATTAATATTATTCATCAAATTTGTGAAGTTTTTGGTCATTATTTCTTAAAAAGTTTCTGTCCCTTTCTTTCTCTCTTATCTTTCTTGAACTCTCATTACATGCAAACTGATACACTTGATATTGTCCCACAAGTCTCTGGGCCTCTGTATATTTTTCTTCAATTTTTTTTTTCTCTGCGTCCTCTGATAGGATCATCTCTATTGCTCTATCTTCAGTTTCATTGATTCTTTCTTTTGTTATCTCCATGATTTTGAGACCCTCTGGTGAATTTTTAAAATTTCAGTTATTCTACATTTCAACTTCACAATTTCCATTTGATTCTTTCTTATAATTTCTATATTTTTATTGAAATATGCACTGAATCATTGTCATACTTTCTTTTAATTTTGTAAACATGATTTTCTTTAATTCTTTGAGCTTCTTAGGAAAGCTTCATAAAAACAGGTATATTTCATGTTTACTGTTGTATCTACAGCACCCAGAATAATTCTCAGCATATAGTACATCTCAATAAGTATTTGTTGAATGGATGAGTTGACAATGTAGTTTAACTTTGTCTTCTCTATGTGTGCCTGAAACTCATTTTTATTTATTTATTTATTTTTGCTCTTAAAATGTTTGCTTCAAGTGTCCAGTCTTAAAATGGAAGTGTTTTTTTTTTAGGGGATCACCAATGTTTCAATAAACAACGGGAGCCTTTTTCTCAAGCATGAGGCAATAGCAATGCAGCAAGGGACAGGGAACTCACAGTGCATTAATGATTGATAGCAAGATGCAGGATACCATTAATCCATTTGAGCATATTTATGTACAATATTTACTGTAAAATGGAAGGAAAACCACCTCCTCTGAATTGATTGTCCTCTTTTTTCCATCTCACCTTTCTCTTCCCCACTCCCCTGCACTGGTATATAAACAAACTCACATCTCACCAATCTGGGTTGTAATGGAGGTTTGCTGTAAAGACAAGATAACTTAACGTGGGGACACTAACAGAATAATTAATGAAACAACCAGAGAGACAAAAAGAAGTTAAAAGGGCACAGCTAAGAAGTAAGGCACTTAGATGATTATCAAAATTCCTTGCAAAAGGTAGGATCTTATCTGTTCTTTGAATGAGGGAGGCAAGGGCAGAATGAAAGATACCCAGAAAAAGTAGCTGTCATGGGAGTAAACAGAAAAGTCTATGGAGGACCACAGGAGAGAGGCCTGCTGTGTTTTTCTTGGTGGAAGGGAATTGGTCTGGAAGCAAGAAAAGTGTTTCTAAGGGAGTCAAACCTGATATGAATTTTAGAGGATAATCAGGAGTTTGCTGCATTTGGTGGAGAGCAAGGGGAAGGCCAGTCTAGGCAGAAAGAGCAGAGAAGTAACAAACTAATAGTTCACTATATACTTGCTTTTCACTGCTGATATTCACAGTTATGTTTATTTAATTCAGTTTGATAATTATGTTAGATTTGAACACATAGCAATTGAGCACAAGGGAAAGAGCCCCCCTGAGAGAGGCTACAGGGGAAAGTAAGTCAGACTAAAGTGAAAATGTCCACAGATAATATTCTGAAAGAACATCTCACAGGGATAATTTGAATGATGCTTGTATGCCATTTTATTATGAAATCTCTATTAAGCACATATTTATAGGGATGGTTTCTCTAACATTTCTACATGAATGCCATTTATATTGCTTTTGTTTAGTTTTGCTTGCCCTACCAAATTGTATGTTTATTCTACTCATTTAGACAAAGTTTACTGTCAGAGTTGATTATTAAAATAAGCAATAAAAGTAAGGAGTGTGGGGAACTGTACCGTCTGGTGAACTTTGATTAAATGAAAAATTATACTCTAAGAGACCTCGAAATCATTATAAAACCAGCTTGGCCTCAAGTAGGGAGGGATTGAAAGTTAGAAAAAATCTGTATTGCCATTTCTTCCAGTAATTGCTTCTCTCTCTCTCTCTCTCTCTCTCTCTATTAGTCATCTGACTGCAGTTAAAATAACATTTATTGCTTTCTGCCTAATGTTTTAGAACAGATGATCAGGAAACCATGAAGCAGAGACTCTGGGCAAACCTAAAATCAGTGAGATGTTTTAACCAGCCTCCCCTCTTGACTTGCTGTAATTTATTACAGTTACCAGAGATAAAGCATTAAGCTGCTCCGTCCTTAGCCTGATATGTGAGTGGAGCTGAAGCATGATATGACTCTTAAAGGGGTCTCTCTTATAGAAAGACTTAGGAGCGGTATAGATAGAGACTATTGCTGGGCTTGCTATTGTATATCCCAAAGCTGGAGACTCCAATGAATTGGTGGTTGGGGCTGGATTGAGGAAGGGTAGGAATAGGATAGTTGCAGCCATCTTTCTTCCCCATGCAGTATATTTTTCCTTAAGGAAGGGACCCTTTTTCCTTAGTTATCAATGATGTTGCTAACAGGGGGACCCCCTGTGGATATTTGGGGGCTACATTGCATTGCATTCCATCTCTTTTTCAATGTATGGTCTTCAGGTTTAACCCACAGTTGAAGATCATAGATTGCAACATACACTGTGGTCTTCAAACACTCAGACATTGCCTTTTGAGTTTACAGATTTTAGTCAACATCTACCCTCTGCAAAGAGTATTTTGGGAAAATGAGTTACACATGGTGTCCTGCTCAGACGATCTCATCTGACTCCTGGTGGCAGGCAATCTGGGGATCTCCCCCCGCCGCCCCCAGGGAGATTTGGGTTAGATAGTTACCAAGAGCTCTGGATTGTGCCTTTGAAACATCTTTTCCTTGGAATGTTTATTTTCTTTTCCCCTCTCTGTTGCCATAACCTCCACTTTTTAATTGAGACTCATTACCCATGCTTGGATTTTGGCATTAGCCCTACTAGCTAGTTGGCCTGACTTCCTGCTTAGAAACTAAGTGACTCCTTATTTTCATGTTATGAAGTGCATATAAGCCTGTCTTGCTCTAATGTCCTTCCTCATCTGACCCCACACCAGCCCTACGAGACCCTGTCATGCCAGTGCTCCTCATCACAGCCCCTCCCATCCGATTGGGCCAATGTCCTCTGTCTCCAGGACATTTCCCTGGAAGCCTCGTTTGCTGTTTTATGTTATTTTATTTTTGTTTTATGGAAGTCCGTTTCTTCTCTTCTACCTATTTACATCTTTCTTCGCCTTCAGGACCCCATCTTCTAGGAAGCCTCCATGGATGTTCCTGCTCTCACTCTCCTATGAATTTCTCTTGAACTTCATGACTATCCCAATAACTCAATACAGTTTTGTATTGATTTCTATCACCCAATAGTTGTTTTCAAATATTGATCTTCCAATTTTAAAAATGCTTGATAATTCTACTATATACTCTTTTAATGTGTTTAAAAGTGTCCCCAATGGTCCCAGGTCCACAATAATTCTCAATAAATATTTCTGCATTTTTCAGTACTGAACACGACTGTATTCAGTTTCACAAATGTAGCACTTGTTCCCTTGAGATACTTATAACATCTTTAGGGGTCTGTTTTGGCATTGAAGGGGCATGATAAAGTTGTTTAGGCTATTCATCTGGAAATCTATTTTCATAATAGAGTCACTCTTTGAGCAGGGTTCTTTTATTTCCTCTAAATGCCACTGAAATGTTTTTTCTCACCCTTTCTTTTGCCTTCTAGGAGTACTAAGAATGGATTTTTTTATATGATTTTATTTTTTACCTGCATTATGGTGTTGCTTTTGCTCCAGTCTTCTTCACTGACATATTAGTCAAAACATGTATACTGAGGGTTTTTTTGTTTTGTTTTTGTCTTTATTGTTGAGAGTATTACAGATGTCCCCCATTTTTTCTCCCATTTACCCCCTCCACGCGAATCCTGCCATGCCCCTGGCCTTCACCACCCTATTGTCTGTGTACATAGGCAATGCATATATGCATATAAGTTCTTTGGTTAAACTCTTTCCACTCTCCCTCCCCACTTCTCTCTGAGATTCGTCAGTCTGTTCCATGTTTCCCTGTTCTGGTTCTATTTTATTCATCAGTTATTTTGTTCATTAGATTCCACATGTAAGTGAGATCATGTGATACTTGTCTTTCTCTGACTGGCTCATTTCAATTAGTGTAATAATCTCCAGGTCCCTCCATGCTGTCTTAAAAGGTAAGAGATCTTTCTTTTTTACAGTTGCATATATTCCATTGTGTAAATATCACAACTTAAAAAAAAATTATCTCTATTGTTGAAAGTATTATAGATGTGCCCTTTCCCCCTCATTGACCCCCTCCCCCACCCCTCCCAGGCCTTCACCACAATACTGTCTGTGTCTAAGGGTTATGCATATATGCATATAACTTCCCCAGTTAATCTCTCCCTACCGGCACGCCCCCTCCCCGCCTTCCCTCTGGGATTCATTGGTCTGTTCCATGCTTCCATGTCTCTGGATCAATTTGTTCATCAGTTTATTTTGTTCATTTAGATTCTACATATGAGTGAGATCATGTGATACTTATGTTTCTCTGACTGGTTTATTTTGCTTAGCATAATACTCCATACGTCCCTCCAAGCTGTCTCAAATGGTAAGAGATCCTTCTTTTTTTTACTACTGCATGGTATTCCATGGTATTTACAGCATTTTATCCACTCATCTACTAATGGGCACTTGGGCTATTTCAAGATCTTAGCTATTGTAAATTGTGCTGCTATGAACATAAGGGTGCACATATTCTTTCTGATTGGTGTTTTAGGTTTCTTAGGATATAATCCTAGAAGTGGGGTCACTAGGTCAAATAGCAATTCCATATCTAATTTTTTGAGGAAACTCCATTCTGTTTTCCACAGTGGCTACACCAGTTTGCATTTCTACCGGCAGTGTTCTAGGGTTTCCTTTTCTCCATATCCTCACCAGCACTTGTCATTTGTTGATTTGTTGTTGTTTTTTGTCTTTCAGAAATGAAATTTATTGAGTTTGGATTCCAGCACTCCTGGGCCCCCACTAATATCTAATTAATCAGACCATACTTTGACTTCAAAGGTGCAGGAGAAATGAGGAGATTTATTATTATTATTATTATTATTATTTAAATCTTTATTGGTGAAAGATTTATGTAAGTCCTACTTTTCCCCCCGTTGATCTCTTCTAGCTCACTCCTGCCCTCCCCCCACCCAGGCCCTAACCACTCCATTGTCTGTATCCAAGGGTTATGCTTATATGCATATAAGTTCATTAGTTGATCTCTTCCCACCCTCCCTGTCTTCCCTCTGAGGTTTGATAGTCTGTTCCATGCTTCTATGTCTCTAGGTCTATTTTTGTTCATCAGTTTATTTTGTTCATTAGATTCCATATATGAGTGAGATCATGTGATACTTATCTTTCTCTGACTGGCTTATTTCACTTAGCATAATACTCTCCAGGTCCATCC